AAAAAGATTTACAGAATACCAAAGAAAACGGCAGTAATAGGCCTGTGGTGGCATACGTGGTGGCACACACCTATAATCAGCATTCTGGAGGCTGAGGCAGGAGGATCTTTTCGAGTTTGAGATCAGCCTGGGCTACAGAGTGAGCTCAAGGCCAGCCTGAACTGTATAGCGAGACCCTGTCTCAAAAAGGTGACCAAAAAAAAAGGCAGTAATGGAGGAATTGGGGAACCAAAAAAATGATATATAGAAAACAACTAGTGATATAAATATACCCTTTATCAGTATTTACATTAAAGGAAACATTAACTTCTGTTAAGAGGTAAGATTGGCAGATTAAAAATAAGAGTCATCTATATGCTGTGTACACTTTAGACATACAATACAGTTTAAGATCACAAAGGGAGAAACGCTAGACTAGAAAGGTATTTCATGTAAAAGGGAACCACAGGAAAGCTGCAGGGACTCCATTATTATCAGACAGCACAGACTTTAAGTCACAAAGGTTACAGGAGACAGCTGTTCAGCGGTTCCGTACAGGAAGATGTGGGAGTGAGAAATGGTTCACTAGGAGAAGGGTACCAGACATTAGGAGGTGTTACAAGCGTTCTCACTTAACAGCAGAGCCCCAGAGGGTCAGTGTTACAGTTACAGCTGGGGACTCCAGTGCTCCACTTTCAGTAAAGGGTGCAGCAGGCAGGCGAGGTTGGGAAGGAAGCAGAGGCCGAGCCGCACTGCCGACCTGCTAACCTCGGGGACATGGCCAGCCCTCTGCAGCAGCAGCACCGGCTGGCACAGACCCTGTGGGGGCCCTCCGGCCATCCCTGATTTTAAACGTGTGAAATCCTGCAGAGGATCACAACATAGTGGAACTGGAAAATTAACAGATAAATGGAAAGAAGACAACATGCTGTTACGGAAATCAACAGGTCACAGAAGTCAAAGAGAAATTAGAAAATATCCAGAGGGATGAGGGCAGAATGCAGTTAACTAAAACCATGGGGTGCGCTGCAGACACGCTGGAGGGAAACAGCTGTAAATGGACCCATGGAAGAAGAGTGGAGCCTCAAGTTTAGAGTTCAGCAGGGTCTTGGCGTGGTTGTTAACTGGTCCCAGGAGGCGTGAGGTATACCAGACGTGACCGGTACCAGAGTGTTTTGGTCACAAGGCAGTGATGCCAACAAGTTCTAGCTTGTGTGTTGAGTACCAAACAAATGATGGGTACAGGGACAAAATTTTCACTTCAAAATGCATGGACTAACCTGCTGAGTGTGGTGGTCCACACCTGTAATCCCAGCACTTGGGAGGCTGAGGAGGGTCACCATGAGTTTGAGGCCAGCCTGAACTATATAGCAAGACCCTGTCTCCAAAAAAAAAAGTATTGGCTAGTAAATTTGACAAGTTTCAGAGCAGTCAAGTAGCAAGGTATGACTATTTATAAAGAATGAAAAGTCAGCTGGGAATGGTAACACAAACCTGTAATCCTACTACTCTGGGAAGCTGAGGCAGGAAGATTACATGGTCAAGCCCAGCCTGGGCAGTTCAGTGCCTTAGCCAGATCCTGTCTCACAGAATATAAAAAAGGCTGACAATGTGAAGTATGAGGGCCCTGGGTGCAGCTCCTCCCACCGCCTGCCCTCATGAGGAGTCAGTAAGGAACCTAGTAACTATTTAAGTCCTCAGCAGCGGGCCTGGGCCGCCACCTTTCTGCGAGCAGTGCTGGCTCCAGTCTCCTCCCCTGGCAGGAAGCATGGAGCTGAGGGGGAGCAGTGTCGCCGAAACCTGTCTCTGCAGCCTGGGGTGGCTCAGTGCTGGAGGCTTAAGGCCCTGGCTCCCATCCCTAGAACCAAACAACAAAAAAAGAAAAAACCTGGTTCTGGAACAAACAAGATGTGCAGGCGAGTCTCAGGTGCTGAGGTAACCCGGCTGACCAAGGCGCCCAAGGGAGCCTGCGCTAAGGGAGACCAGATGGACAGGCCCGCATGGGTGCCCGAGGCTCAGGAAAGGGTTACCCTGGGGCAAAGGTGACAGAGAGACTGGGTGGCCTGGGCCTGAGGTGACCGGACAGGCACAAGTCGGGGGCAGCAGGACTGGATTAACTGGAAGTGGTCTGTGAAACGCACAGCCTGGAGGGACGTGGCGCTGATACCTGTGCCGCAGCATGGCCTGAATCTCCCCCTTCTTGGAATTCTGTCTTCCTTCTCTCCGCCCCTCGCTCCCCTCTCCTGGGTGCCCCCACAGCCTATCCCCCATGCCGAGTGTACGTTCTAAGAGAGCAGAGATCCGCCTCACTCACCCTGGACCTTGCACAGTGCCTGGCCCCAAGCTGATGCTCAAATATTTGCAGAATGTGGTGTGGAGAAAAGCCCCAGGTTGCTGGTGCACAGCCCCTAGCCCCGGGCAGACAGAGGCATATCCCTTGTGGGAGGAGCTGGGAGGAGGCGAGCCGCACGGGTCCCATTTGCATCCCGCCAGGTGACCACACCCTAGATTCAGGGTAGAGCAGCAGAGAAATGTCAAGGTCCAGTGCCTGCTGTGACTGGTGTAAAGGTCTCTTCTCCGCAAGGATGCCTTCAAGCTGTATCAGTCTGCAGTTCAGTTTGCAAAGTACAGGATGTGGCGCTGACTGCTTGGGTTGGAAACCTGGTTCCGTGACCTTCGGCCAGTTACTTACTGGTTCTGTGCCTCACCTGTAACACGGAGACTTAACAGCACTTATTTTCTAGGGAGTAGTTACATAGTCAGTGCACTTAAAGTGCTAAGAGTAGTTCCTGGCACATGCTAAACATCATGTAGGAGTTTTCTACTGCGCCTTACTGAGTTTCTGTGTCCTTAGCCTAAAAGCCTGGGCACACTCAGGAGGCTGAAGCAGGAGGATTGCTATGAGAGTGAGGCTAGCCTGGGCCAACATAGTGTGTTCAAGGCCAGCCTGAACTGCATAGCAAGACCCCATCCCAAAAATAAATAAGCTAAAAACATGAACAGGGGCTGGGGATTTAGCTCAGCGGCAAAGCTCCTGCCTGGCAAGTGCAAGGTCGTGAGTTCAGTTCCCGGTACCGGAGAAAAACAAAAACAAAAACAAAATAAAAAATAAAAACATGAGCATACTCTAAAATACATGTATGTATTCTAAAAATAGAACAGTAACAGGGCAGTACATCCTGTGATTACCATGCAGCCCCTGGAGTGAGCCTCAGTGCTTGTTACGCTCCGTTGTAATTGTTCGTGGGCATTTCCCTGTCAATAGACTGTGGTGTTCCTGTGATTGTTTTGTATTCCTAGTGCCAGCACATAATACATACTTAATAAACAGTGTGGTGGTCCACACCTGTAGGTGGATAAAAATGGGAAGACGCCAGAGAAAAGTGAACTTTTATTCTAATGAGGGCAATGGGATAGTGTAATTTTATTCTGTTCTAATGTACTAACTGTATTTCAAACTAAAAGTTCAGCAGAAGACTTGAAGAGGTGAGGTAGAAGAGAGGCTCTATCCAAGTGGACCATAAAAAGCATGTAAAGAATTTTCAGCATTGTTTCTTTTTAGGGAAGTGTAAATTAAAACCGCACTTTAGCTGAGGATGTAGCTCAGGTAGAGCGCTTGCCACAAAACCCTGAGTTCAGTCTGCAGCATTGAAAAACAAAAACAAAACCCAGAGAGATGCCGCTGCCGCCTCCAGAGGCCGCATTGAAGGAGGGAGGCCCTATCAAGAGGGTCAGTGCTGCGAGGCAGCTGGAGGCCCTATCACATGGCGACAGGGAGAATAGAAATTCATACAGCCGCTTGGAAAGCTTTGGTGGTGTCTGTTATGCTAAATGTACGCGCTACATAACTCAGAAATCAACCTCGGAATACACCCAACAGAAAGTGTGGGCAGCCCCCAGGGCCACGTGTGAAAATGATCATAGTCGCTTTATTCTTACGGCTCAGAGTGGAAACAGCCAGGTGTCCTTGACAGTAGGGGACAGGTGCCCTGCAGCGCTGGTCCCACGGAGCGGCACAGAGCTGTGAAAATGTCGCACGTGCACCGGTGTGGATGAGTCTAGCAAGTGAGGATGTGCGTGAAAGCAGTCACAGAAGAATGTGCAAGGAAATGGATAAAGATTCATTTACGTGACACTCAAAAAGAGGGAAAACTGCGGCAAAAGGTGTAGCTCGGGGAGAGCGCATGCTTAGTGAGCACTGGACCCAGCTTCAGTCTCTGGCACCGAAAGATCAAAAAGACAAAACAGATCGGTGCGGTAGAGACCCGAGTGGTGCTCACCCTGACCTGAGGCACAGCGCCACCTTTGAGGACCTGGAAACGTTCTACACTTTGATCCAGGTGGTGGTTACACGGGAATGTGTGGCAGCTCAGTGCACTGTGTATTTGAGGTGCGTACACTGTACTGTAAGTTATAAAATCACTTTGTAAAAGTTTTTTAAAAAATAAGACCTGAAATTAAAGGCACGTCTCTGCCAACTTGTCGGCGTAAAGCCGAAATTTTTCTTTTCTTTGTTTTGTTTTTTCAGACAGTGTCTCACTATTTCACACTGGCCTTAAACTCACTATGTAGCCCAGGCTGGCATTGAACTAGTGATGATCCTCCTGCCTCACCCTCCAGAGTTCTGGGATTACAGGTGTGCGCCACCATACCTGGCTGTCCTTTAAATGGAGCAGTTGCCCAGCCATCTGAATCGTAGTCCTTCTGGATTTTTTTAATCATTATCTTATGTCTGTGTTTTAAATTTTGTTCTTAGCCTCTTGCCTTTATGAAGTCTGAAAACTCTTTATCAGTCGGGCTTCCTTGTACACTTTATGTAGCTGAAATAAATTGTAACTGTTGGGATGTAGATGAGTCCCAGCTCTGAAACTTGGTGGTTCTTTTTTTTTTTCTTTTTTTTCACGTGGTGCTTCTAACCTGTGAGACGGGTTGTAGCGGCCTCTGGCAGAGCATTTTCCTGCAGCTGCAGGTGGACCTTGCCTCTGGTGGATCGACCTCACCTCTTGCCTTTCCTCCTGCAGCTACCCCCTGCTGAAGCTGCCCCTGCCGGGCACGGGCCCTGTGGAGTTTGCCACCCCGGTGAAGGACTACGCCCCGCCCCCTGCCGACCCTGACCACCGGCCGGGGGAGCCCAGCGAACGGCCTGAGTGGGTAGGTGCCAAGGAGAGAGCCAGCGGGGCGCTGATTGGCGGGCGCACTGGCCAGCGAGGTGTGAGTGGCCAGCCCCAGGCGTGTGCACTGCTTGGCCTCGTGGAGGCTCCAGAGCTGCCTAGTGAGGTGTTTAATGAGTAACCTTTATTAGGGAAAAGACCAGGGGACCCCAGAGTGTGACTGTCCCAGGAAAGCCTCGTCCTGGCGGTGCCCTGCTGGGTCTGGGCTCCCACCTGGGCTCGTCGCACACGCCTGCACATTTCAGGGAACAGGCCGTCTCTTCTTCATCCATGGGTGGTCACGGGGACAGCAGGGCCTCCCCGAATGTCCACCATCGGGGCCCCAGCATGGCCTGATATTTGCAGTGTGCACCAGATCTTTCTCATATCTCTCAGCTCCTATTTTATTCCCATGATCTACTCAGGAGGAAAAAAATGCAGTCTTTTGTCCTTCAGTAAAGGTAAGAAAGCTGGGCCCGGCGCCATCAAGTGCTTCGGTTATTCAGTTTCCACGGGCAGCACTGGCTTGGAGCTCCCAGGCCTCCAGACCCGAGCCTACACCTTTCTCCGACTGTACCACTGTGGGCTGTCTCTGGGCCTGGTGCTGAGAGAAGTGAGAGAAGACTGGGCTGCGCCCTTGCGAGGCACAGACCCAGCACCCGACCCCCAGCTGCTTACCACTGGCGCGCACGCTGCGTGCCCCGCCCGTCTCCAGCGTTTTACCCGCCACGCGTGGACAGTGTGCCCGTCGTCCTGGGTGTGCTGTGCTCTGGCCCCATGGCAGGTGCTGGGCTTGCTGAGGAAGGCAGGGCAGAGCGCCTCTCCCAGGGATAACGCTGCTTCCTATTTCCCCGGGGGGGTGGAACAGCCGGGTTACAGTTCTGAGCTTGTGCCTGCTGTTGCTGGCTGGAGACCTGGCTGCATGCCGTGTCAGTGGCAGGAGCACAGCCTGGGCCCTGGGGCTCTGCCTGTGGTGCTGCCCGGCAGTGTGGCCCCTTCATGTCTCGTGGCCAGTGCTTCACAGCGGGCCCTTCTCCGTGCACACCTTCCCCCTGCATTGCCTCTTAGTGTCACCGTGTAATGGGATGGATGGCTCCCAGGGCCCAACAAGGGGCCTTGTGCTTGGGGACCCTTTTAGCCTGCGGCGTGGAGTAGATGTTGGTGATAATCCTGTCAGGGTTCCTTCGTGGTCATCTGGGGTGTTGACAGCACGCGGTGTGCAGAGTCGAGCTTGTCCCTTTGCTCTTGGTGACGCAGCCCTGCCCCCTGCAGGATGGGGGAGGAGACCCAGACCTCAGTGCAGTCACCTGGTATTGTGTCTCCGACTTTTATTTCCTGTCTCTGATAAGAGTAATACAGGAGCCGGGGATATAGCTCAGCGGTACAAATGCCTGCCCGGCAAGCGCAAGGTCCTGAGTTCAATTCCTGGTAGCAAAAAAAATAAAGTAAAAAAGAGTAATACAGGAAACGCAGTGCAGACCAGAGTACATGAAAAGGAAATATTGTGGCTCGCGGATCTCCTCAGCAGGGCAGGGCTGCCTTCAGCACTGCATGGTATGGCTGTGATCTGAGGCAGTGTGAGTGCTGTCCTCCCTGGCCCGCTCCTCCCTGGCCTTTCCAGCAGGGCTGTCATGGAGGCAAGAGGGAGACCGTTGCTCCTGGAGGTTCCCTGCCTGTCTCTAGCCCAAGCCCTTTAGCCGAGGGTGGGTGCCTTGTTACCAGCTCTGTCACTTGAGAGGGAATAGTTCTGGGAGGCGAGCAGGAGCCCAGGCCTGGGCATTTGAAATGTCATTCATGGCACATCCTTTGAACTCCTAAATCATTTCTAAATTTTCGGAAGTTAAGGGTCAGGCTCTGTGCTGAAGTGTGTTGCCCGTTTTGTAGTGGGCTGATTTCCCTTTATGCAGTGTGGTTCTTACTCTGTGTGTGTGTCCATCCATGTGTCCATCCATCCCCAGTCCTCAGCTGCCCACAGCGGGGGTGGCTGCGCCCTGCATTGCTCGCTGTGTGTCCTCTGAACAAAGCCTCATTGGCCCTGCCGGGCCTGTGGGCCGAGCGTGGCCCCCGCTGTTGGAGTCACTGTGCCCTGTGGCCTCAGGGGTTGGAAGGGGCTGCCCCCTGGCTGGAGGCTGCTCTTCTTCCCAGAGGACCAGAACAGAGGCCTTGTGTTCCCAGCTGTGTGACCTTGGGCAAACTACTTAACACTTGTCTGCCTGAGTTTCCATGTTCGTGAAGTGGGGTAAGAATTACACCGACATTATGCTGGGCATAATCTCAGCCACTTGCGAGGCTGAGGCAAGAGCGTCACACGTTTGAGGCCAGCCTGGACAATTCAGGGAGACCTGTGTCAAAAGACTAAAAGGGCAGGAGTGTAACTCAGCGCCACCCTGGGCTGTATCTCCAGAATCCCCATAAATAAATACCCAAGGTTAGGTGAAGAAATGCAAAGGTTAGGTAGCATAGTGCCTGCCCACTGTTGGATTTGGCAGAAGTTCGTGGCTGTCACGGTCACTGTCGTGGTGCTCACTGCTCAGTCCAGCTGGCAGAGCAGTGAGGAGGAGGAGGAGGAGTCTGTGCCTGGGCAGCCCTCCGGTACACCCGGTGCGCGCCTTAGGCCAGTGACGGCAAGCCTTTCAGAGACGCGCGCCCAAGCTGCAACCCAGAACCCACTTACTTATCGCAAAGGCCAGCACTGTGATTAAGCCTGAACACAGGGTTTCGTTTAGAAAAAACAACTCATATATTAACATGTTTTGTCATAAAAGAAAAGCAAATCCCATGCATGCTGTACGTTCGGCACCACTGCGCTAGGCTTCCCCTTTGCTTGGTGCCACTTTCTCCCGGAAGCGTCCCAGCCCTCTTCTGGGCTCTGTGCAGCTACCCTGTTGGCGTCACATTCTGTCTCTTTAGATCCTGGGTGCCAGGGTAAGGCTTGGGCAAGGCATCTTGCTGGGTGAACGCAGCGGGCTGACTTAGGCCATGGTGCCCATGCAGTTTTTCTTGGAGCGAGGTGATGAGGTGAGTTCTGGCTTTGTAGTTGAAGCTGGAGATCTGGAGGCAGGGATGGATGCACCAGGTAGGTGCTGGTGAGAACCCATCTTACTGAGCCTGTGGACTTGGAGGTGAGGTGACAGTCTGAAGGGACGCTGTTTACAGCCAGACACTGTGCTAAGTGGGTCACACACATTACTTGGATTGGTCTGCCTGGGGTCTGGTGACATCTGAGGTTTGATTCCCATTTTCCTGAGTAAGTGACAGACGAGGCTGGAGAGCCTGAGACCCTCGCCCCAGGCACACAGCCTGGGAGTGATGGGGCTGCTGCCTGAGCCTCAGTGGCCTCCTGAGCCTATTCTCCACCCCCCAGCCCGCCCTTTCCTGGAAGAGCCAAGCGACAGGGGCTGCTCTCTCGGGTGTCGGGTGAAGGGAAGATGTCAGCAGTTCCAGGCAGTGCTCTTAGGTGTGCAGGAAGGCTTATCTTTAAAGGTGACAGCGATGTGTTAGGAGGCGAAGCAGCAGGCCAGGTCTCCAGCATTGGCTAACTTGTCATGGAACCCCGACTCCTGCGCCGGGCTCCACGTGGCAGGTCTGCCAGTGGCTAGGCTTGTTTCCCGACAGGCGCCTCAGGCCAGCGTTGCAGCGCTTGTGGAAGCTGCTTGGGCCTGGACACAGGGTTCCCAGGAGGCCCCGGGCAGGGCCTCATACTGTGCACAGTGGTGGCCCGAGGCACCCTAGGCCCCGGGGGTGTGCTAAGCCTTCGGTGTGCTGGCAGGGAGACGCCAGGCTTGGGAGTCACATGGCCCGGGGTGTGCTCCCTCTGGGCTGTGTGACCTCGGACGTGCCTTCTGTTGTTCAGAACCTTGGTTTGCTTGTCTGGGCCCTGTAGCTCAGGGGAAGTCTCAAAGCCACAGCCTCATCCGAGCCCGGCCAGGGGACAGTCTGCGTCCCCTCCACAACGCGGTCCGTCAGGGGGGCCCCGGCAGGCTGTTGGGCTGCGGGCCTCACATCTGCAGCCCTGGGTTCCAGGCCGTACCGCCCTTCCCAAGCAGCGTGCTGTTGGGTTTCATCAGAACAGGGACTCTGACGGCCTGTGGCTGTGGTGTCACGTGACCTCATCCCCAGAGTGACTTCTCTTTGCTGTATCCTGCTTGTCTGAAGCGGGTCGGGAGGCCCAGCCTGCCTTGAAGGGGGGGACGGGGTAACATGGGGCACTAGCCCTGGGCGGCGTGTCCTGTGTGCCTGCCACGGCCCCCTCCACCCAGTTCTTCCCCCGGGGGCACCTGGCCTCCACTGGCCTCTGTGTCTCCTCCACTCACCGTGGACAGCACGCGTCACTGCTCTGCCAGCTTCTCAAGCGCTCCTCACGTGGGGATGGCGGAGGGCCCGCCGCGCACTGCGGTCAGAGGCTCTCTGTGGTAAACGGCTTGTGAGGGGCCGCTTCGGGGGGACCTGAGCGGGGCCGGGAGAGTTCTGGAGCCCCGAGGACGGAGCTGGAGGGCGCGGACGATGAGTCGGGAAGACGGAGACACCTGCCCCGAAAGATCAGCCAGAGTCTGTGGGGCTGAGTGAGAGCCACCGGCAGAGAGGCCTGGCCACCTGGAGGCCTGGCCAGCAAGGTGACCGAGGCCGAAGCCTGGAGACGCAGGCTGCTGGGGAGTCTGAGGAGAGACGATGCCCGTGCGAGGGGCGCCCTGTTCTCAGCCGCCGTGCCGCTCCCTCCCCAAAGAGGAGAGGGCGGTGCAGCGTGCACCCGGCCGGCAGCGGTCGGAGCTGCCTGGGCAGCGCCACGCCCGCCCTCCTAGAGCCCAGTCACGCCCCTTGGGGAGCTGGCTCTGACCTGTGTGGCACCGGACTGGAGGCCCCGAGCTGTGCTGGCCTGGGAGGGGCTCCCGTGCGCAGGCTGCGTGGCCCCGAGGGTGAGGTACGGGTGGCGGCCTGTCACAGCTCCGCTGAGCCCGGAGCCCAGCCACCTGTCCAGGGGCCTCTGCCCCTCCTGGCTGCTGCCAGGGTGTGGCGGGGGTGGTTTCTGTCCCCCGAGCCGGAACGCAGCCCACTCGGCTTAGTGTCGCCAAGGCTCCAGGTTGCTCTTGGCCCAGGAGACACTGACTTGCAGTCGAGGGTCAGCGCCTTGGCGGCCTTGCCGTGGTCCCTGCCAAGCTGCTCGGTGGCTGCCCTCAGCCCTCCCCGCCCTGTGGGGCCTGTGGCGATGACACGGGCCTGGGGTAACGGGAACAGCCCTTGTCCTCCTCTCCGCCTCCACCTCAGAGACCCTCGGCATCTGCTGGTGCGCAGATGGCTCGGCCAGCCTCACCCTAGCCCACCCCTCATTCTCCCTGGCGCTTCCCGTGTCACCTGCCCAGCCGCCCTGTCCTGCCTCCAGCCTCACGGCCGTCCTCCCCATCCTCGGCTGCTTGCATCCTGGGGTGGGAGTTGTACACGTAAGCGCCCTGTTCCCTCGTGTACCCGTGGCGAGCTCTGTGAGGTGGGTCAGCTTTCGGTGAGGCAGGTGCGGGGAGGAGGCCTGTGTGGGGGCAGCGTGAGGAATTCCCACTTGTGGCTGGTGCTTCTCTGCTCCTCATCTCTGTGTACGTGTATGCGCCCGGTGCGCAGCGTGAGGGTGGGCAGACACTTGGCCGCTGCAGCCTGCCCTCTTTTCACTGCGAGGAAACAGACCCAGGGAGCGCAAAGCATTTCCGAGGCTGGACGGTTACAGAGCTGAGATGTAAAGCTGTGTTTAGTGGCCTCAGGAACCTGCTGTCCTGCTGCAGGTGGCAGGATGTGGATCGGGGAGGCAGCCTCCTTCTGGGAGCTTGCCGCCCGCCAGTCAGGTGGTCCCTGGAACACCCCAAGCCTCTGCCGCAGACCCTGCTCTGCCCTTGCGGCGTAAGAGCAGCTAAAGAGGCCGTGAGCGGGTGGGCCGTGCGCCGGGAAACTCAGAGAAGTGAGCCTGGACCACAGCTCGCGGCACCGGCTGCTGCAGCGCTCTGCCCAGAGTGGAGGCTTGGCCTCTACAGAGTGTGGGGCTGTGCTCCTGCCTGCTGCACCGAGCTGACTCTGCTTGCCGTTTCCCCTGCAGTATGTGGGTGCCCCGGTGGCTTACATCCAGCAGATTTTCGTGAAGACCTCAGTGTCGCCCTGGCACAAGAACCTCCTGGCAGTAGATGTGTTCCGCTCCCCTCTGGCCCGGGCGTTCCAGCTGGTGGAGGAGATCCGGAACCATGTGCTGCGAGACAGGTACCCCCTGGGGGGACCCCGGTCCCTCCTGAAGGAGAGTTAGGGCTGCGGTGTACCCGGTGAGCAGTCAGCTCTGCAGAAATGAAGCAAGAAGGGCGGAGGGGGCCAGCCTCATATTCCTCAGCACCCTCTAAGTCTGCTGCACGGAGTCCCCTCACCTGTGCAGACAGCTCCGCTAGAGCCCAGGCTCGAACAGGTCTGCACCAAGCGGGCTGGCAGCCGGCTGGCCCATTGTGCATGTGGCTCTGGCCTCTGGCCTCTGGTTCGAGAGCTGTGAGGTGGCAGTAGCAATCCTTGGGGACACTTCTGCAGCGCCAGCTCAGGCTCTGCCCCCCAGCCATCAGAGCGTCTCTGGAGCAAGCTGGCTGCGTGCCCTGCAGGTCATAGTTAGCTAATGGCAGAGACAGGGGCTTCGGTAAACTAAGCAGACCCCTAACCCTTCTCTCTGTGGCCCCTTGCCAAGAAGTTAGCAGAAGTGTTTCTGTGTGTGTCCCCTTTGAGATGACGGGTACCACACTACACACTCCCTTGGAAGGAGGGGCAGGCACTGGTTTGGATGTTGACTGCCCTGAAATACCTTCCCTAATGATGAGGCTCTCAGGAGACACCAGGCTCCGATACAGGCCAGGTGGGAGCCAGGTGACAGGCAGTTCGCCCGCGCAGGGCCTGCCCTCTGCTGGCCGGCACAGCAGGTACCTCGTCCTGTCTCTGCACAGCTCTGGGACCAGGAGTCTGGAGGAGGTGTGCCTGCAGGTGACCGACCTGCTGCCAGGCCTTCGGAAACTTCGGAACCTGCTCCCGGAGCATGGCTGCCTGCTACTGTCCCCGGGGAACTTCTGGCAGAATGACCGGGAGCGCTTTCACGCCGACCCTGACATCATTGGGACCATCCATCAGCACGAGCCCAAGACACTGCAGACTTCCGCCACGCTCAAGGGTAGGCCGAGTGCAGGGCTCCAGTGGCCACCATTGCTCCCTGGTTGGGTGCTCTGGCAGCCCAGGGTTTCCCCTGTCCTTGGGGAGAGAGTCTTGGTGGCCCTGCCCTGGCTGTGGTCCCACTGGCAGTGCCCGCTGCCCCTGCAGACTTGCTGTTTGGTGTTCCCGGGAAGTACAGCGGGGTGAGCCTCTACCGGAAGAGGAGGATGGTGTCCTACACGATCACCCTGGTCTTCCAGCGCTACCACGCCAAGTAAGGGCTCGGGCTCTGGCTTCCTGGCTGGTCAGTGGGTGACACGAGGCTTGAGGGTCCCTGTTCTAGTTGAGGTTCAGATGGCTTTCAGGCCTCCTACAGAAATGTTTCTCTCCTTCAGCCGGGAGGGTGCTGTCTGCTGCATTTGAGTGGGGAGGGCCTGACAGCCGCTCAGAACAAGAACAAAGGCAGGGCTGATGGCTTCTGCAGCCGCGCGCTCTAGGCAGGGCACCCGAGGCGCGTGGGCCTTCGGCACAGTGGTGCAGTAGGTCAGGAGAGGAGCGAGCTGTGTGGTTCCTTGGCGCCCCAGACGCCATCGAGGTGCTGAGCTGCCTTGAAGGAGCTCCCTCCTGCTGTGGATGGGGAGGGAGACGCCCTGACGGGCCCTCCAGGGATTTCCTTTGTCCCCAGGTTCCTAGGCAGCCTGCGTGCCCGCCTCATGCTCCTGCACCCCAGCCCCAACTGCAGCCTTCGGGCAGAGAGCCTGGTCCACGTGCACTTCAAGGAGGAGATCGGCATTGCCGAGCTCATCCCCCTGGTCACCACCTACATCATCCTGTTTGCCTACATCTACTTCTCCACACGTACGTCTGGCCAGGCGGCACTTCCCCTCCTCCTGCTCCCTGCCTCTGGAGGCGGCTGGGAAGAGGTGGCCCGGAGCTAGGGCTTCATCCCCACCCGGACAGTGCTGCAGGGGCTCCGGTGTCTGGGGCTCCACGCACGTCTCAGGAGGAGCCTGCCAGCCTGAGGGTCCCGAGGCTGTGTAGTCATGAGGCAGGGTGTGGCCACAGCTGCGCTTTCTTCTGATTAGACTGGGTGCTGTCCCCTCGTGATGGCTGGGGCCCCCTTGCCTGCTGGGCTGCCCTAACGTGCCCTCTCTGCCCTCCAGGCAAGATCGACATGGTGAAGTCCAAGTGGGGGTTAGCCCTGGCCGCCGTGGTTACAGTGCTCAGCTCACTGCTCATGTCCGTGGGGCTCTGCACGCTTTTCGGTCTGACGCCCACACTCAATGGCGGGTAGGTCTCCAGCAGGCCACTGGGCCCCGGAGCCATGTGCACCCAGGCACCCGGCCTTTCCTGCATCCCTGTCTTCACCTTGCTACTTCTGGCATTCGGGAGGTGCGTTTCTTCCCCTTTAAGCGCCTGGCCTGTATTGGTATGTGTGGTGTACACAGTACATCCACGCGTATACATGTACATACGTGTGTATACTGTGTATACTGTGTGATTATGTGTTGTGCACATATAGAGCGTTTGTGTGGGTAAGTACTGCATGTGTGTATATGAGTGTGTATCTTCTCACTAGGGGACTTGGCACACATATATATATATTTTTTAAATTTTCATTTTAAATAGTAAAAGGATAACATAATAATAGGGGCTTACCAAATCACAGACAAAGTGGTAGGAAATTATCAATGGCTGTTGTTTTACATACTGTTGTCTACAAGATAGTTTCTCAGGAAAACAAATAGACAAATAATAGTGAGTTACAGACAAAAGAGGTAGGAGATCATCAATAGTTGTTGTACTATACTTTGGTATCTTCAAAGTGGCTTCTAAAGAAAATAAATAGAGCTATACATGAGTGACCTATTGAATAATCATTAACTATTCTCAGTGGTTGTTGTAGGAAACACATAATAATAAACATCCATTTACGAAATAGAATAGGAACAATACAAACATTACAGAGTTATGGACAGATTAGTAGGAAAATATCAATGGCTGCTGTGGTATCTTTAAAGTGGTTTCTCAGGAAGACAGAGATACGCAAGAAGGATCTAACAAGTAGTTACAGCCTCAGGGTTGTCAAAAATAGCGTATTACTTCCTCACCAGTGACTCCTGTCACTGAGGTGTGACGGCTGGAAGGATTCGCACACATATAATGCATCTTAATTCTTTTCACATCCCAGTCACCTCCCTGCACCTCGTGTTTTACCATAAGCGCTGTAAGAGATCCAAGGACCTCACTGCTTATCCCCTAACGCTTGCTGTCCCCCAAGTCTGCATGTGGAAGCCTTCCCAGCTGGGCTCCAGGCTTCGGTCAGGTCCTGCCTGTGCACACCTGGGGGGTCTCCTCACCCCATCTTTGGCTTGTCAGATGAGGAAAGCCCCTTTCTTTTTATGGTGCTGAGGCTTGAAGCCAGGGCCTCCCACGTCAGACACGCCCTATGGAAAGGTGACCGTGGCTCCTGTTCTTTCCTCATGGGGAACACCGGCTTCCCCCGCTGCGTCTCCTCTCAGAGCCGTCACTCCCACAGGCTTTGATGCCCGCCTTGGAGCCTGGCACCAGTCCTGTGAGACTGGGGGCGGGAGCACAAGCTGGGGGAGTGTCCTTTAGGAGCAATTGCTCGGCGGGGCACAGTGATGCTTGCCTGCAGTGGCAGCTACTCAGGAAGCTGAGGCAGGAGGATCAGCAGTTCCGGTCCAGCCTGGGCTATGTACTACGTTCAAGGCTGGCCTGGATGACATAGTGAGCGCCTGTTTTAAAACAGCAGAACAAATAAGTGGGAGCAGGGTGCAGCTCAGCGGAGGAGCACTGTCCTGCTGCATACGAAGCCCCGGGTGCACTCCGCAGTCCCTGTCCCTGAAGCAGCAGTTGCTCTTCTCCCTGTGGCTTTTCAGCAAAGCCTTGGGCCTTTAGGCTGGCTTTACCCTGTCTGTGTGGCATGGCCTGGAGTTACCGGTGTGTGGTGTGTGAGAGCCAGGAGAGTGGGCAGCTTCCGGGGGCCTCACCTGTGCTGGGGGGAGAGGCGGCTGGGTGCCGGCCCCTTGGTGAGGCTTTGAGCCCACCTGGAAGCCGGCAGTATGTGGACGGAGCCTCCCCGATGAGCTGGAGGGCGGGAAGGCTTTCTGCCCTGTGCTCGAGAGGCCCAGTACGTGCTTGCCCCCTCCTCCATCCCCAGCGAGATCTTCCCGTACCTGGTGGTGGTGATTGGCTTTGAGAACGTGCTCGTGCTCACCAAGTCCGTGGTGTCGACCCCGGTGGACCTGGAGGTGAAGCTACGGATTGCCCAAGGTAACAGGATGTGTGGAGATGCCGTTCCTCTTGATGCTGCACCCCGGGGAGATGGGGAGCCCCTGGGCAGGCCCTGCCTCTTGTTACCATGGCCGCAAGGAGCCGTGGCCACCCCGCTGTGCTCTGTGCTGGCGCACAGTCAGGGGCTCGTGTTTGGAGTGGCCTGCTGTCTAGACCATGGCTAGGCTTCCTCTTCTTGCCTCACGGTGGGAAGTGGGCACGGGGCTTCCGGGGCAGTGAGGAAGTGAGGCCCTCCCGGTGAGGAGCGCCTGAGGCTGCCCAGTCGGCCTGTCACTCTGCGTTGGTTGCCTGGCCCGGCGCGGTGTGGGCACAGAAGCCATGGGGTGAAAGTCCCAGTCTCCCCGGAGCTTGCAGCCTGGCCTGACGGTGAGGGCCAGGGCGCGGGCTGGCTGCGGGGCTGCAAGCAGGGTGTGCTGCCCGCGCGTCAGCTCGGCTCGCAGTCCGCTGCGGCTTGCAGGGTCGGCTGGCTGGGCCGGGCCCGGCACCCTGCCTTTCCCTCTGGTGGCTGCAGCTCCCCGCCCCCCTGCCCGCCCAGTGGCTGCCTCTCCCTGGTCGCCCCTCCAGGCCTGAGCAGCGAGAGCTGGTCCATCATGAAGAACATGGCCACCGAGCTGGGCATCATCCTCATCGGCTACTTCACCCTCGTGCCTGCCATCCAGGTGAGGCCCACGGCCTGCTGCCTGTGGAGGGGCGGAGGCAGCACCGCCCACAGCCCTGCACTTGCCCTCAGCACTCACCGCGCCTGCGCACACCTGTGGGGCTGGAGCGGAGGGGGAGCCGGCCTGCTGCAGGCTCTGGGCAGAGGTGCCCGTCCTCATCTCCCAGGGCGGCATCCCAGGGCGGCATCTGAGGAGAGAAGCCTGTCAGAGGCCTGAGGATGTGACCACTGTGCCCTGGGGTGTCCGCTGGGTCAGGGCAGAGTGCAGTGCTGCAGCGGGGGGTCTCAGGCCAGGGCTTGAGGATCAGACGTCACCCTGTTTCAGCGGAGCGCAGAGTCAGTCCCTCCTGCCAACTTCTTTCACTGGTCCAGGGTGGGCACAGCCAGGCGGCGTCTGAGTGCCCACACGGGGCAGGCTTGGCTTCAGGCTAGGTCAGTGGCGCCTGCACAGGGCAGGGCCTCCAGGTTGGTTTCGGGCTCCTTCCTCCGGGAGGGCACCCCTGTCCCGGCGGCGTGCGGGGGCCTGTGCTGCCCCCTGGTGGCAGTGGAGAGACTGCAAGGGCGGAGGCCTCTGCTCACGGCACCGTGCGTGCGCTCTCGTTTCAGGAGTTCTGTCTCTTCGCGGTCGTGGGCCTGGTGTCCGACTTCTTCCTCCAGATGCTGTTCTTCACCACAGTGCTGTCCATCGACATACGCCGCATGGAGGTAGGCGTGGCGGGCGCGGCCTGCCGCCCGGCTGCCCTCCCAGGCTGTGCAGGGGCATGAGGACTCAGGCCTGGCCCCTGCACCCCGACAGCTAGCGGACCTGAACAAGCGGCTGCCGCCCGAGGCCTGCCTGCCCCCCGCCAAGCCTGTGGGGCGGCCGGCACGCTACGAGAGGCAGCTGGCTGCGCGGCCGTCCACGCCTCACACCATCACGCTGCAGCCGTCCTCCTTCCGGAACCTGCGGCTCCCCAAGAGACTGCGCGTCGTCTACTTCCTGGCCCGCACCCGCCTGGCTCAGCGCCTCATCATGGTACCTGCCGCCCCTGCACTCAGGTTGCTGCTCCCTGTAACCTCCGCGGGCGCTGCTTGTGCCCTCCCTGCCCCGGCCCTGGTGGGTTCTGAGGAGAGAAGCCTGTCTGTGGGTGGTCAGGGAGAGCAGCCGTCCCGCCTGAGGGACCTGGGACAGGCGTCTAGGAGGGAGACCCCTGGGCCGCAGGTCACTGGCTGCCACCGAGCGAACCAGCTGTGCCACGCTGGCTCCTGGGAGCGGGGACGGGGTGAGGCCGAGGCCCTCCGGGGCCTCTGGCGCAGGTCAGGCAGAGTTTCTCAGGCCAGGCTGAGCTGAAAACCTTGGAGCTTTGTGGAGCCTGTGGGGGGGCTTAGGGATGGGGTGCACCAGCATCCAACCCAAGGAGAGCCACTCGGTGAAAGGGACCCTGCCCCCGTGGTGAGTGCTGGCAGGTGGCCGGGGGAGGCCCACTGCGCCCCCAGGCCTGATGGAGCCCCTGACGCCCTGCAGGCCGGCACCGTCGTCTGGATCGGCATCCTGGTGTACACAGACCCTGCGGGGCTGCGCACTTACCTGGCTGCCCAGGTGACAGAGCAGAGCCCGCTGGGCGAGGGCCCCCTGGCCTCCATGCCCGTGCCCAGCGGTGTGCTGCCCGCCAGCCACCCGGACCCAGCCTTCTCCATCTTCCCACCGGATGCCCCGAGGCTCCCTGAGAACCAGACGCTGCCCGGCCAGCAGCCTGAGCCGGTGGGCCCAGGAGAAAGTATCCAGGACGGCCCAGTGCCGGAGGTGACCTGGGGGCCTGAGGACGAGGAGCTCTGGCGGGAGCTGTCCTTCCGCCACTGGCCCACGCTCTTCAGCTACTACAATGTCACGCTGGCCAAGAGGTGAGGGGCAGGTGACTGCCACCTGTCCATGGCCAGTGTCAGCTCACCTGCTGGGCACCCCTTCCACCGCAGGTGAAGCACAGACCGCAGCTGCTTGCGTTGGAACAGCGCGCAGCTGCCCGGCCGGGAGGGTCCGGGCGCTCGCTGCCCTGCCCCTCCCCTGCTCTGTCATGGTGGGCGGGCGGCGGCCAGTGTCCGGCTGGGCTGGGCTGGGCTGGGCTGCGCAGGGGAGGAGGCTGAGTCAGTACGCCTGCAGGTACATCAGCCTGCTGCCCGTCATCCCCGTGACGCTGCGCCTGAACCCGAGGGAGGCGCTGGAGGGACGGCACCCGCAGGACGGTCGCAGCGCCTGGTCCCCTCGTGGGCCCGCGCCCCCTGGGCTCCGGGAGGCAGCGGGACCCCTGGGGCCGGGCGGGGCGCCCGTGCCCGGAGATGTCACTCTGTACAAGTGAGGACGGGGACGCGGGCGCGGCGGAGGTGGGAGGCGGGGTCCCGGGCACCGCTCAGCTCCCCGCCTCCCGTCCCTGCGCAGGGTGG